CCGCTGAGAGTTGAGCCATGCCAAGGGTTCGCTTGGGGCCAACAATGGTTCTCGAGTGCAGTCCACGTTCAGGATGTAGGCTCGGCGCGTGACAAGTTTGAAAAGATTTTTGCCCCCTGATTATCAAGACATAATTGATAGATCTGAGCTTCCTCTTGTTTGCAACACCAAGGAGCTCTTTTTTCATTTGTGTGATTCTCCCATTCTTCTTGTGGAGGCAAACTGGTAAAACTCCATTTTGATGTGGTTATTTTTTATGATTTTAATTATTTTTTATTTTAATATCGATTGTGTGTACATACCTAATTTATTTATCGATACATGCTACCTCTGCAGGAGGCAAAAGATAAAGTGTAGAAGGATTTCTTCATTATTATTTTTTTACTTTCAGTAGATCATATTATTGACTTTTTTCTTATTTTTAGCTCATCTTTTTCTGGTACATATGGATTCTGTTTTTAATGTATCTAGATGTTTTTGTTTCTTAAATTAATTTATAAAGCATTCGTTTCAACATTATGATACATTGCAATTTTATCAAGAGTTGTTGGTGGCTCTGGTAAGGGCTTTGAGTCAAGATCCATGGGTGACGCCATTGTTTATAGCGGAAAAAAGCTACAAGAGTTGAAACAGAGCAAAGGAGAGAGTGTGGAAGGATTTCTTCATCATATTATTTTTCTTTTAGCAGATCAAATTGTTGATTTTCTTTTTTGATTATTTGTTGTTTTCAACAGATCTTTTAATATATCTAGTTGATTTTGATTCTTAAATTAATGTATAATTTATTAGCTTCACCTTTATAATGAATTATAATTTTATCATGTACAATATATCATTTTTTCTAGGGAAAATGCATAAGTACCCCCCCAGCCTATACCCGAAATTCCAGAGACACACCTAACCTTTACTAAGGTCCTATTACCCCTTCCGAACTTATTTTATATGTAATATTCTACCCCTTTTTGGCCTACGTGGCACTATCTTTGTGGGCCCAGTGCATGTTGACATTTTTTTCAAGATAGTGCCACGTAGGCAGAAAAGGGGTAGAATATTATAGATAAATTAAGTTCGGGGGTAATAGGACCTTAGTAAAGGTTAAGTGTGTCTCTGGGATTTCGGGCATAGGTTGGGGGGTACTTATGCATTTTCCCTTTTTTCAAATATTAGTTTTGATGCATAACCCTTATTTATTGAAACAAAAATTAGTATGTATCATGTTCATAATTATCTATTGGGTACACAACTATTACAAAATTCGTTATCTTTTACTACTGATACATACACCAAACCTTATTCAACTAGTATAATGTTATGTATCTGTAGACACTATCAAATATTACTATTGATTCATAAAAATGTTTTATAACAAAATCAGTTTGTATCATATTCATAGTTATGTATATCATACATAACTTTGTTATATATCAGATATTGTGATATATCACACGTTGTTAAGTATCTGTAACACCGTTTTATAAATAAATTAGTGTATATCATATTCATAGTATTTTCAAATGATACATAACTATATAAAATTGTCGATTTCTTTTGAATCTATTACGATTTGGGACAGATTTGAGAGAAGAAAATTTGAAATTTGAATTCTTTGGAGCAATTATTTGAGAGAGATTGACATCAATTTGATTTGCATGATTTGGGGAGCTAACATATAATTTTATATTTAATTTCCTTTTTAATCTCAACAAACTACTCGCATAATGTATCAAATGTGATGTATCTGAAAGAATATGTTGTATCCTAATAACATCAATTTTAGGAGATTTTTGTAAATTGAGAAAGAGTAGGGATAAAATGTAATTTTCTCCTTACACTACAGGAATCCTAAAATTTTTATTTAAAATAAAATAAGGGGTTAATATGATCTTCCCAAAATTAAAGTGTATAATAGCAATTTTGATTGAAGTTTGAGTGGATTTTAAGTAATTTCCCAAATTTATTTAATTTCAAGATTTTAAATCACACACACACATATATATATATAAGAGAACCCTAGGCCCGCCTACGTGACACATTCACAAACCAGGATTCTCTTTTAATTTATTTTATTTCCAAAACTAGCCTTCCCCTTTCATGAAAAGTTATGACTGTTATGAAAAGTTGTGACTTTTATGAAGAGTTGCGACTTGTATGAAAAGTTACGACTTTTATGAAAAGTTACGACTTTTATGAAAAGTTGTGACTTTTATGAAAAGTTGCGACTTTTGTGAAAAGTTGTGACTTTTATCAAAGGTTGTGACCTTTCTGAAGGATTGTAACTTTCCCAAAGAGTTGTGACCTTTCCGATAAGACACAATAAGCATTTGTTCACACTACCCTTTGTTGTCTATAAATAGAGGAATTTCCTCTCATTTTAAAACAACAAAAATTTTGAACTTCTTCTTCGGTCTTCTGGACAATTAAATATTTGTGTACTTTGCTCATGTTGAATGACTCACTGACACCATTGTTTTTGTATCAATACACTGGTGAATAAAATCGTTATATCCTGAGAGGATCTATTCCTTTAAACCTCGGGTACTAGAGGGGAATAATTCCTTAAGGGGACATTGTGCATTCAGTGAGCTCGATTTTTTTCATTCTGTTTCATTCTATTGTTACAGATCCTGGTATTTCTTTTACAGTAATTAATTTATGCTTATATTATTAATTGTTATTTTTTAGTACATGCTTGAAACTTTGTTGTTTATGTTTCTGCAAAATTATTGTTATAAGTATTTGTTATTACAAATTAAATAACAAATGTTAATTGAGTATTCAAGCAAGTTTTCTCTTCTAGAATTGTTGAAGGTACAATAAAAAAGCCCTTACAAATCTCTACTTTCTTCATCAGCAACGTCATTCCTTCCTATACAAGGATGATATTTTGTGTTCTTTAGAAAAATCCTCTAAGAATTAATAACTTTGTGTGCCCATTTTTTTTTTGTTTTTATGTTGTTTTTATCTATTTTTATCAATGGATATTATGAGTACTTAAAGGATTGAAAGTTGATTGAAGTGTTGGTCAATTTTTTGAGGTATGTTATTTCAAAACATGACAACTTTTCTGGTTAGAATGATTTGTTAGAATGATTTGTTATCATCATTGGATATCTCATAGTTTACTCCCTTTTAATGTATGGTTTTTCTTGCTGTTTTGTTGTCTCCTAAAAATTTTATTGATTTTTTTTTTTTTGTATGTATATGATCTCACTTGGACAAAGTTTTCTTCCTTTTAATGTTTTTTTCTTTTTTTCCTTCTCATTCGGCTCTTCTAAATATTTTTGGTGTGAGTTATGACTATTTTCGACAAGCTTAATTTGAAGAATATGAAAGAAAACCTGCTCTAAATAAAAGTAATATCTTAAGCTACAAAAGATATGTCTATTAACATAGATTTGTTGTCCTACATGTCCCAAGTCATTGTTGAGCATTTGAGTTATCTAGGTTAGACTTATATTTATTTTTTTAATGTTCGAGAATATTTATTTAACACGAGTCTAGAATCCAACAGTTTGATCTACTCGTACTTTCATAATGCAACAATTAGACATACATATTTTTAAAAAAGTCATAAAGTTGCATTGATGAAGCATCTAGAAGGGACTTCAAAGCAGCAGTTTAATGAAAAATGAATTTCTAATACTTGTTTGACCTCAGACAAGTAGATTGTCTCTACAAAATTTTACTTATGTTGTTGTGGTGTTCATTTTTAACGGTCTTAACTTATTTATAACTAATATTGATTATTGAAAAGTTTCACATAATTTTTTTCTCGCAAGGAGTTATTCTAATCATAAAATTATTAGATTCTATATTTTTCATGTACAAAAAAATAGAAAAAATGATGTTTAATCGCTACATAAAAACATCACTCAGTTTTAACAAGACAATTATATCATCAAACATATATTATGATAAATTATTTAAAAGATAAAAATGATTAGATATCAAGATATTTTTAATCACATTATATATTTACAATTCTTGAGATATGTGATAATGTCAAATCATTTAATTTCTGTTGAATGTTCTTCAAACCTACTAAAATTTACTTGTTTTTCTTATAATAGTCGATTATTGGAAAGGTTGTTCAAAAGCTTAGAAAAATTATCTATGCCCGCGAGCGCGGGTAAATTACCTAGTATTAAGATAATTGCAAATGAAAAAGGTTGATAATATTCCTCATCTTCTATTTTATAGTTATTCAGAAGCATAAAAAAAAAATTAAAAATAAATAATATATATATATATATATATATATATATATATTATCATTTGTACACAATAAAAAAAGAGTACTACTCCTAGAATAAATTAAATGAAAATTGATCGAAATTTGATACCTACAAAAAATGTATGTTGTGCTTATTTACTTTATTATACAAATATAGTGTATTATATAATTTATATAATGAAGGATTTAGTGCACAAAATATTTAAAGTATATTATTTATTTTCTTTCCTTTTTTGGATTGTATTTGACCATGAAATTTGATAAGATCTTCAAATATTTTATAGTTCTCTAAATATTGGTTAAAATTCATTTTTTTTCAAAAAATAAATTTCAAGTTTTAATTTCAAATTCTATGACCAAATGAGAGATTAATTATTTAAACTTTCTTCCAAGAAGCAAAAAGTTTTATATTTATAGTTTTTGTTGTAAACTCATGCTGGTGAATTGATTGTCTTTTTTATTATTTTTTCTTAAATAATTAAATAATAAAATTTATGCAGTGTGAAGGTGTTTTTCAATATTTAAAGTCCTATTAGGGTAAATAATGGCGGAGCACTAATTTGAGTAAGGAAGGAGTTAATATAAAGTAACATTTTAGTATACTATATAGTCAATCTACAGTAGAAAAACATAAAATCATGTTTATTTGTACTTATTACAATAATTCACTATATAAATCTCTAAAAAAAAATCCCCTTAGATTATTTTTTCACATACAAAGTTTTGAACAAAAGTAACTATTGTATATTTTTATATGAGTTGTGACATGAATTCTTCCAACTTCAATGCTCCGATTGATTATTCTGAAAGCTTGTCAGAAGGTTGCAAATTTAAAATCATTTCAAAAACAACTCCAGCAGATGCAGTAAGATCGATAATTTTATCCAAAAGATTCAAATTTGTTGCTAAATCAGATGAAATTTGGGGAAGATTTTTGCCCCCTGATTATCAAGAAATAATTGATAGATCTGGGTTTCCTCTTGTTTGCAACACCAAAAAGGAGCTCTTTTTTCGTTTGTGTGATTCTCCCATTCTTCTTGATGGAGGCAAACTGGTAAAATTTCATTTTGATGTGGTTATTTTTTATGATTTTATTTATTTTTTATTTTAATATCAATTGTGTGTACATACCTAAATTATTTATCGATACATGCTACTTCTCACAGGAGGCAAAATAAATATTTAATCTATATGGATTAAATTTCAAGGTTCTTAATATTTAACTTGTTATTTTAATGTTGTGGGCTCATATCTACTAGTTATTTTATTTATCATGAGTTTTTACACATAAATTCATGTTTCGGTATGAAAGTATTGGATTAAGATGAATCCTTAACTAATATGTTCAGATGTTTCTACCTCTCATCAACACATGTACCAGAGAGTGGCATAGTCAAAAATTCATATATAGAGATAAAAAAAATACAAGGTGTCACACTGAGGGCTTAAACTCATGAGCTAAAATAATCTATGAACTCTCTTTGTTATTAAACTAGAATTTCTCCTTATATTAAGTGAATTTAATTGTCCATATATAATTAAAAAATGATCAAATTAAGAAAATAAAAAGAGATGAACCTGGAATCGGGACGTTGAACCCATTGCCAAGAGTATGCATCATCACTATCTGAAATTATGAGCTCTCTCGATGCTATCATAAAAGACTTCTTTCCGCTATGTTTATCAAGAAAAAAACTCTGAAAAAAGAAAAAACAAAAACATTTTCATCTTACTTGTTTGGATGGTTACTACACAAATATAGTTTCATATTGTATTATTTTAATGAAATAATGTTTGGATAGATTATTTTCCATGTTATATTATGCCACACATCAACAATTGAAGATTATAAACCTACAATATTATAAAGAAAAAATAGCACACGTGGTAAAGTTCTTATACAGAAAGGGTATAGACTTTGATAAAATAGGATTATAAAGTAATAAGAAAATAAAATTATAGTAAAGACACACACGACACCAAATTATTCATTATAGAAATTGAGACTTTCATCTTTACATAACGATGTATTTAATGATATAATAGATTAAAATCGAAATAACAATTAATATAAATATTGTAATTAAAATAAAAATATGATACAATATAATATAATAGATAGCAAGCACTCAAATGACATATTGTTCAATTTGAATAACCTAAACTTTGGAGAGAGAAATAGAATAAAAATTGAGACTTTATATTTCCCCCCTACCCAACAAAAAAAGTTTAAAATAAACAATCTAATGCAATAAGTGTGGCAATCAATAAAGTGGATAAAAAATTATAAAATATTAGATTTTAAATTTTGGTGAATCTAAAATAAAATAAAATACTAGATGATCATTTATTTTCACCTACTTGAGCTATCATAGTACTTTGGTATCAGGAGAACCACTAGAGGAAGGAAACTAGTTCAATAGAATGCACTTCATTGATCTACAAATACGTTTTCCTTTGAGAGGTTTTATTTAATAAAATAGTTTGCTTTCTTTCCTCTTCCCTTTACACTGACTTCTTCCTCTCTATGAATTATGTCATTGAAGCTTGGTGCTCCAAAGCTTGGAGATCGAACACCAATCACTTAACTTGATAGATAGCGTACAATAAAATATTCCAAGTTAGCTCATAGATATATAAGAACCCGAATAGTTGCAATTGGTAAAAAATTAAGTTTTTATTGAAAAAGAAATTACCGAGACATTATTGCTGAAGCTGAACAAAGTATAACAGTAAAAAAGAATAGATTGTTGTGGACAAAAGGGAAAAGAATCAAAAGATTTGACACTTTGATGTCTTACTTATAGAAAATACAATCCAAAAGCTATACATAAATGCTATTGTAATAGTAGAAACTTAAAGGACAAGCGAATAAATATTGGAATGTAAAAGATGATATTACCTTCATTTATGTGTAACCTACAATTATGGATAATTACTACCTTCATTTTAATATGCACTTAATCATACATTATGGCAATTTGTTCTGGATACAAAAAATCATAAATTACACTATCTATTCTATATGCATATTCATATTGGGTAGTAAAAGATACTAACTGTTAATTATGACTCCATAACTGATAGTGGCTCAACTTGGAAAATTTGCACAGATAATGAATTGGGATAGGAGATGTTAGATTAACCTAACAACTAAGAACAAATATCAAAGAATGTGGGGCAATGGATGAGGTTGCTCCTCTTTACACTAGAGGTTTCATGATCGAACTCTGGATATGAAAAAAATCTTAGTAGAAAATGCTTCCTGAGTAGCTAAAGGTTAATACTCCAACTTTCAAGTTAAGAGCTTCTTTCTATTAGCATAGTATAGTAAAATAATATTATATGATATGATTTACGAAGGTCAATTAGCACACAACAACGATGGTTAATATTCATCTATAGTTTAGTAAAGGTGGTTCATGCCCTTGAATGGAGACGCCTATAATAGGAATGTCTTAACTACCCCACCGATAATGGTCTTTATATGACATAGACATGGTGCGTTGGTTCTTGTCAATGATTTGATGGTAAAAATAAAAAACTGCTATAAAAATTTAATTGAATAATATCATGTAAGACTCAATCCTTTAATTTTATTTTTTTACATTCGCATATGGTACATCTACTAAAGAGCTAAAGCCCTACATATATATATATATATATATATATAAAAACTTTCCTTACAAATGTTTCTTGTAATGCTTTTGCATATTCTCTGAAGTGGCATATCTTATCGTTGGGCATCAATTGGATATTCGTGGAACAATAGGCACAGAAATGTTGTCACCAAAGACAGAATATGCTGCTTATTTGGTGTTCAAGTTGGTAAATAGGTGCGATTATAGACTTGAATCTGCTAAATCAAGTATTTGGTTTGTTAATTATGAGAGTGAAATTGATACTGAAAATCAGGCCAACACCGTGCACCTTCCAAGATTGCAAGAAAGTGGGGATATCCCAAAATTGAGAAGAGACGGATGGATGGAAGTAAAATTGGGATATTTTGATAGCAAGAAAGGCACTGACGGTCCTATTGAAGCAAGATTGTTTGAGATGAATCGTATTTACAAAAGGGGACTCATTGTTGAAGGAGTCGAGTTTCGTCCAAAATGAGATGCGGATATGAAATTTTAAGTTTTACAAGTTTTGAACAAGAACTCTTTGAATTCTTATCCTGATTACTAATTCAATGTTTGCAATTTACTATAGACAATTCATATGCATTGCATATCTGTTACGACCCAAGCCTAGGGCCTAGACGTGACATGGCGAATGAGGAACCCGAAGGAACCCCAAACAAGCCTCTCAAACTTGTCATCACACTTCATCGGTCGCGGAAGTACAATCAACATTAATTAACGGGAAATAGGGACTAAGGGCAAACCATTTCAAAATGACATCATAGAACAAGAGTCAAGCTCATTTACAAAATACTTGTCCAACGCACACCTCTACATACATAGATAGGACGGGGCTATGACATACTACCGGCTCCCCTCATAGTCAAAATACGATTGCAAGCTAAAGTCTCAAAACATAGGAGTAGAAAACATAACATAGCCCTCGAATCATTGAGGACTCACCAACAACTCGGATAAGCACCGTACTAGCCACGTGAATGGAGAGAAGGATCAAGAGTAGCTCCGATCCCTACATGGTGACATCATGTAGGCAAAATATGCGTTAGTACTTGGAATGTACTAAGTATGCGGGGTGCAACACAACAATAGACAAAGACACAATCGAAATACAAGAAATAGTTTCATAGGCATTATGAATAACAATATGAGGATGCATGATCAAAGTGAAGTCAAAACATGTTTAAGTAAATCTATACTAATAGTAGATATCATATGTGTATGCATGATCCAACCAATCTATAACCCCAACTTAGGATAGGGGATGTCGTTCACACCCGGACACCCTGGTGGCAAGGTATAAACCCCTCGCATGGTTGATGTTGGTCACACCCCAAGCATCCTAGGTGGTGAGATATAAACCTCTCACATGGTTGATGTTGGTCACACCCCAAGCATCCTAGGTGGTGAGATATAAACCTCTCACATGGTTGTCCGGTTCTTTTCCCCCAGACCGGGCATGGTCATGCAACACTTTATATAGGAAATTCCCATTAGGCTCTAATGCAATCTCACGTATGGAATGAACATATACACAAGCTTAGTTTGTCATCAACACATCTCTGGATTTCCATACATCTCATAACTCAAGCTTTAAAGCATCGATTCATTAATTCTCCATAGTTGGACATTTTGTCAAACACCTTGAAGGCATGTAATGGAATCAAAGAGTATGGAAAATAGGGTAGTAATTATGCAGCCAAACCAGTGAACAACCTACAACAACACATTTTAACACCCACAATACCACATGAAAATCTCCACATCCATTCCAAATTTAGATTCAAGTTCTAGAGTCACAACATGCTCAAAACAATCACTTTTCATGTTTAAAATTCAATGTACAGGAAATTATTACAAAGAACAAGACTAATTTATGAATCTTAACTTAAACCATGAATTAGTGAATAGAATAGAGTCTAGGCACTATGGGTGGAAGGACCCATGAGTTCAACACCACATACCTTGAGTTTTTATGAAGGTCTTGAGAATGTCTTCAATGGAAGCTTGGAACTTGGAGCAAGAGTCTCTTCAATCTTGAGGAAGGTTTTGGATTAGGGTTCTTGAGAGAACTTGAGAGAAAATGTGTCTAAGTATGGGAGAGGTGTTTTGGGAAATGTTTTAGAGATGGGAATTGAACTAATGTTATATAGGAAATAACATATGTCCTTTGGAAAAATGGTCCAACACTTAGAAAAAAAAATGAGGCGGGTGAACAGTAAAAACGCTCACTGGAAATTGTCTTTCCTGCCGGACAGATTTTACGAAAATGGGCATAACTTCTTTGTCTGAACTCCGAATGAGGTGAAACGAAGTGCGTTAGGTAGCTAACTCAAAGGGCTTTCCATGGATATGTTATTGGCCACCCAATAATTTGTGTTCTAGGAGATATGACCCTTCAAAGTAGACCCTCGAAAAAGGCTTCACTTGGAAATTTCGGATTTTGATACGGTTGCTCTAAAATTTGGGTTAGACCCATTTCCCACTCAATTTGACCCCCTAAACAAGAATATGAAGTCGGATTTTTGAAAAACGAAATGGATTTTTTTTATTATATATATAGCTAAACAAGTTTCCGGTAACTTCCGAAGCACATTTTAAAGAACTTTTTGGGTCATTTCAATATCCTTTAAGGCTTTAATATTACTTAATAATTTGGATGTCTTCTTTCTACCTTCTGGCCAATTTTGTGGCCTATATATTTTGGCTTTAACTTCACTTTTAGAAGGTAGGAAAAGATGAAGAGAAATTCCTTCTTCCAATAGTTATTATGTTGGATTTTCTTCTCTATTTAATCTATGTGAATTTATGTGCTTCTAGTTTTATATTATATGAGAGCTTTGATGAATCCAGGGGAGGGGAACTATTTTTTGTTCTTTGGGATAACTCATCATGTTCATCTCCATCTTCTTTAGGTGCTAAAGCTAATAAGGTATGACAATACTATAAGTCTATAATTTTAATGAATTGATGTGGAATACTCAGAGAAATGATAACCCTGCTAAGTAAAAATAAATTTAACTAAAAAGATGATATAATTATTGTGGTAATTTCTCAAGTACCAACACCAATGACGGAGGGTTCATGGGTGATTCTAGTTGATATTGTTGCAGCCTTCAGGCCTGTATGAGTTCCTCCACACACCTGATCTCTTTGTTCATGTCATAAGCGTCCAAACCTTCCTTAGTGGCCTGTAGAATTTTTTTTGCTTTCCCTTTATTGAGAATGCCTTCTCAGGTAACCAACTATCCCCGCTCTCTTTGTTATTTCCATCAAGTACCATATCTATTCAATTGATTTTACCCTATACAATAGGAAAACTAATGGAATGACATGATCAATGACGTGGAAGAAAATATACCTCATGTCTCCGATGCTTCTCAAACTTTGTCCACAATCTCCTTATGTTTGATTGGATCTATCACTGGAAAAATGAACTTTGTTTCACAACTGCTTAAAGATTCCTCTTTTTAGTTGGTTGAATGAATATTTGTGGCGCACTTGGTGTTTTCAGCATCAACAATTCCTTTTTGATACCAGCCTTAGCATCATCAAAGGCTTTTAAATCTTTCTTTACATATATAAAATGGGACTTTTTGTCATTACATAACAAAGGATTTAACAGCACGATACAACAAAACTTAAGTTGTCTTTACAAACAAACATTGTATTTAAAGTAACAAGACGATACAATACAATAGGTAATAACCAGCATCCAAACAAGTATCAAAAGTAAAATTCTCAGATCTCATCATAAATTTAGTTATTACATTAAGATTAGTTCTTGTAACGCGACAATGCAGAAGTTCCATCTAGACCTTTTTTACAGTAATACTCACGATAGTCTTTCACTGTGGTTGCATGATATTTTGGAGTGCTGCCTTCTAACAACAATTCAGTAATCAGTCCATAAAGCTTGGAAGATGACATTGAATCAGTGCCGAAGAAGCATGGAACTGACACTCTTGGTCCAACTTTATTTTCCAATACTGTGTTCAACACTTATGTACTTGTCATTTGATATGAGCTGAAAAAATAAACCAAAATAAGCAAATGGCATATTCACTCTTATAGATTGTACATGGATTAGAAAAGAAAAAGAAAACTAGCCTGTAGAAGATCTCCAATTTTGACCACAAGAGCACCACGCGTAGGAGGAACATAAAAACATTGATTCTGGTGAAGCACTTGAAGTCCTCTGATGTGATCTTGTAGAAGCATTGTGAGAAAATCATTGTCAGAATGTTTGTTGGTGCCTATGGTAAGTTCTGGCTGACGGCATGTTGGATAGTAAAGGGCCAAAACACCAAGCCCCTCCGCACAATACATATCTTTGAGATAACAACGATCAAGACCGATCAAGACCGAGACCTTCAAACAATAATCCAAGCAAGGAACAAGCCAATTCCATCATATGCTTAGAGTAGTCTATAAGTATTTCTCTACAACAATTTTGTAAAATTAATGAAACACCACATCACAATTTTTATCACCGCATAATACATATTCAATTATTGGTTGGCTTTCTAATTCATATTCAAAACATATACCTACATGGTCTTGGAAATTCTTCTGGACTGGAAGGGTTAGGAGACATTTTAAATAAAATGTAATCTCTCCAATTTGCAGCTGGAACAGAAGGGCTATACAAATCAAAATTGCTAGCATGAACCACATTTTTCACGATATCTCGAGTGTAATACTGTTTCTTCATCTTGATAACTTGCTCAAAAAATTGTCGGGCTCCTCATAACATTTCATCAAGGACAAATATTGGAATGCCATGATTAACCACTTGGAAGAAACCCCATGTCACCGATGCATCTCTTACTTTGTCCACAATCTCTTTATGCTTGATTGGATCCATCTCGTCGATGCCTTAAAGGTCAATCACAGGAAAAATGAAGTGTGTTTCACATGTATCCGAGGAATCTATGTTGTTTATTGGTGGTAGAATGAATATTTGAGGTATCTTAGTGATTCCAGCATTAACAAGCCCTTTGACACCCGCCTTTGTATCATCAAAGGCTTTTAACTCACTCATTTTGTCATAATTACTTGTTTGATCAACTGTGGCCTCCAAATTCTCAGTGCTAGAGATTACCATCTTCTTTGCTAGGATGGGATGTTATAAACAATTAATTAGTAGAGCTCATAATGGGTAGCAGGGGATGATATAAATGCTTATTACTATTTATGTACAACAATATATTAAGTCCCTTTCACTGGTCACTGTCTGAACCCACTAAAAAGTTTCAACCTCACCTATATCCCAAAAATAGAAGGCTTATGGATATTAGACAAGCAGAAAAAAGCAACAAAAAAAATTGTGTTGAGAATAATATCCACGACAAATAACAAGAACAAGAGAGTAACAAGGCACCATGTTCTTTTAGCATGGAAAGTATAATACTTGAGCTGAGCAATATAGTACCATTATCGTGAGAATTTTAACATTTTGTAATCTGAAAAGAC